TTATTGAGAAAATGAAAAAAGAACGAGCAATGTGTATTTTGAAAAAAATATAACATAAATGATAAATAATACAAATATAAATTACTTATCGCATACGGTCGCTCCGTTCCTCGCTTGATGCTTTTCCGAAGTTCTTTTTCCTCTCTCGTTCCTTTGCTGTATCCACGTAGCACTTACACTCGCGAAAATATGGTTAATTACGATTAGTCGAATATATGATGATCGCGGAATATTTTGCACGGCTCTCCCAATCGCGGAACAATCGCATGCACAGCGCTTTGATAAAGATTTATCATCGCGATACAGTTTTGTATCATTTATCAAAAGTTAATTGAACGTTAATTTCGTAATAATCATAGCGAATTATGCTTCAATATTAGTTATGATCGCGTTTAGAGGAAAAATTTAATAATATACGAAGCGTCTCGCACCATTACTTCGGTGTGCGAGTGTCGCCGTGCGAATGAAAACAAGGCCGCAACATGTAAACAATGGCGCGCTATACGTCACCAATGCCAAATATTTTGTTATTGATAATACGTTACTATTATATACGATACCGAAATATTTCCCGTCTTATGACGTATATATATATACGCGGAATATTAAATTATATGTATAAGTATTTTAAATTATAGATTAATTATTTATTAATCGATAGATGTGTATCACGAAGCATTTCGTTAAGTTAGTTACTCGAACCTGCGATTCGATTATTTAATTGCAAGTTCCCAATATTAATCATATTTAGATTGTTGAAGAATCGAACGATAAAAAATACCGGAAGAGATATATTGAACTTTATAATATTTAATTTAAGTTCAATTTAAATTCAAATTATATTTAATTAAATATTATTAAAGTAATAATTATTGCTCATAAAGAGAGATAGCAACAAAAAGAATATAATTATTATTATTATTTTAGACTTCTCTTACTACATTTCGTATTTGAATAAAGGAAATAAAATTTTATTAAAATTAAATAAATAAAATACGCGCTTCGAAATTTATCGTTGCGATATAATTAACATATGATTTAAGAAATTAATTTTAAATATTTTAAAAGCAAATTTTTTCGCATTTTCGGTTTTTTATTTATTGTTAGAGTAGTAGTTCTGGGTAATACCCCACGAAATAGAAAAGAAACTTTTCACATTTTTATGCTCAAACCAGTATCGCAAGAGATATCGCGATTTTTTTATCATTTTTATCTATTATCATTCGTCAAAACTAAATGGCGCATTTTATAATATTTTTAATAACACACACACACACATACACGTTAATTATTTTAATAATATTTTAATATTTTAATAATATACCGTGAGCAGCTTTCATCGAGATATCCACTCTTAAAAAGGCATATTAAATCGATACTTGTAAGTATTGTTACCTCTTTTTCGTTATGCTGGTTGATTATTTCGACGCTGTATTGTGCATTACTTTATATTTTATATCAATAAAAAGCCTTTCATGACTGAGCGACGCATTAAATATTAATTGCGTGTGTAATTTTTATCTAATTGATTTTGAAAAAATGGAGAACTAGAGTTAACGTAAGTAATTATACGCAGACACACACACACAAAATAAATGGCGCGCGCGTATGGTGCGCTTATATTTATATGTATTATTAATTATTACTTTTAATTATAGGTCAAACGTATGCATGATTTTAAAGGGATATATTAAATTATCAGAAAATAAAAATATTTAGAATCTCAAAATTCAGAAATCAAGATGCATATTTTCATATTTATATAGCTTTCATTAAATAATGATAATGTGTGTATGTGTATATGCGATATACTTTACTTTAATAGACTTATAAATTAATGGGTGTGTATACTTATATCATATATACAAAATTTATATCATCAGATTAAACTTTATGCTTATAAAAAGGTCTTTTGACAAAACCGCGTTATTTTATGGTTCTTTAGTGAAGCAGCTATAATTTACGACGAATAGTTAGACCCCATTGCGTGCAAAATAAAGGTGGCACAAATAGTAGTACATAAAACGGTACTTCTATTGTTTGGTAATATGGTCCCTCTATCTTTGCGGTCTCACCTGTGGTTAAACGAGGGTATTGCTACGTTTATGAGAACGTACATCGCTGATCAGGTTACTTCATTATATACCTCTTGCAATGCTTCGCATTTGCAGTTAAAATAAATATTTATTAATATTATAAGAAAACTGAAATATTGTGGACAATTTTTAAAGTTTTAGAAATTATTTCTATGCAACCAAAATAATTGCTCTCTCTCTCTTTCTTTCTCTATATATTTATTTCTCTCTTACCGAATTTTTTAAATTTTTTTTTATAAAATCTGAAATGTAAAGAAATAATCAATTATGTCAAATTAAAACTTTTATTCTTCAGATTACTATTCCCGAGCTTAGGATAATGGATTATTTGTAATACAAATCCAACACAAATCGCTCCATTTGTACACTTATTATGACATACCTCTTGTAATATAGAAACAAATATACAATCTCTGTTTTAGATAAGAAAATTCATAAGCAATAATATCCAGGAACTAATAATTTTATATATTCATATATGTTCAAACGTAAAACAGAAATATACTTATCTCAAATTAAAAGTCAAATTCACTATATTTTTAAAGTTTTTTAAAATCAAGAAAAACCAAAGATGATTTATCCAAAATTGGAAATAATTCAGTCGGAGTAATGAAAAATAATATTCTATTTTTATCCATATTCATATAATATTATATATTATATTCATTCATATTACACAAATAAATTTTTGTTATACTTTTATATTTTTAATAATATATTAGCTATTATATTGTCAAATCTTTTTTTTTGATATTACATATATGTGTTTATGTTTTAAATGTAATAGTATTTCATCAATCGAAAACTGCTACATGAAATATAAATATAATTTATTAGCATATTAATCTAGAACATAAAAAATGGAAAATATAAGATCTAGATTATAAAATAAATGTAAATTAAAAAAAAAAATAGAAATATAAAATATAAAGATAAAAATATAAATTTAATTCATTAGTGAATTAATTTAAAAGTTTTCAAGAATCTAAGAATAATAGTTTAATTAAGATTCATTTTATTATGTAAAATGCACCAACCGCAGCTGTTTTACGGTGGCATCGAAAAATGAATCTAGCCATTTAGTTCCGCCGACTCTAAAATGAATCCAGTTACGCTACTGTACCAGCTGGAAAAAGCGTCTTAGGAAAAACGGCGGCGTGGCCCCTCTCAGGCAAACGTGTATATATAGTCAAGTAGTTGACAGTTCTGATGTCATCTGTACGCGAGGGAGCGTGTATCTAACGAAGACGTTAGATTTAGATAGTATGGGGAAGACTACGAGGGTAGTCGTTTGCGGGATGAAAGGAGTTGGGAAGACAGCTTTACTGGAACAGCTCATATACGGGAATATCGACGCGAAGACGGTATGCGTTTGTTAGGTTATGTTACCGCGTGATTTACATTGCGCGTATCCCGCGCGATGCAAATTTATAATCGCCTGTAATAATTAATTACAGGAAATTCATCCTACAATCGAAGACATTTATGTCGCCAACATTGAGACTGATCGCGGCACAAAGGAGAAGGTTAGATTCTACGACACAGCCGGACTTGAATCTCTACAGAGCAATGTAAACAATCAGCAGCTTCCACGACACTATCTCGGTTTCGCTGATGGCTATGTCTTAGTGTACGATACTGGTAAACCTGAATCTCTCGATGTTCTCTTTCCTTTGAAGAAAGACATTGATAAAAATAAGGATAAGAAGGAAATAATTGTGATTGTGATCGGTAATCGAACGAAAACCGATGCCGTATTGAATAACTTGGAAAATACTGCGAGTAAAGCGACCAATTGGTGTACTAGAGAGAAAGTTAAACATTATGAAGTGGACGTTATGGATAGATCTAGTTTATTTGAGGCATTTGTGCATCTATCGTCTAAGTTGAATCCTCCTGCTAATAAAAGTACATTTTCGCAATTAAGTATGGGTAGGAAGACTGTCAAGGCAGAAGCACAGTGATGCTTGTTTAAGAGTATGATGGTATTATAGATTGCGATATGAGGAGTCACTCATGTGAATGTGTTGTACTCAGGTATAATTTATTTCATAACGGCTAAATGCCACAATATAAATATACTTTGAGATCTCAATAACAATATATATCTACGGCACAGTATGTACTTTACTTTTCTTTTAACTTTGGACACATTTGTGATATTAGGTTTGAAAGGAGATAAATGGACTTAAAACCATGGGTATATCATGGGTTATATACTTAAAATATTAACAACTTTGCTGGTTTAAAACCGTTTAACATTATTTATCGAATAAATATAAAGAAAAGATCATCTACTCATCAAATACTAATTCTCAATATTTGTCTTTGTTAGTGCATTGTATTGTCATTTTTTGAGAAATTTGTGTGCGCATGTAGTCATTAATTTATATATACTAGAAAGCTATTGAATCTCTTAAAAACTTAGGTGTGTACTTAAATCTTTATGGGACTGAGTTATATTTAATTATTACAAGGAGTACAATCTCTGTACTTATTGTAATTACAGTTGTGATTATATTAATAAGGAATTATTATTTATGCGATCAAAATATTTAAAAAAAGGAATACCATGAATAAATATAAACGCTGCTATATCTTTCTTTTTCATTATTGTTTTACCATTCTAATGGTTTGTCTAATTTTCGTAAACTTAGATCCGTCTTGAGTAATCGATCCCACAATTCACTGGTAACTCCAAATCCTAATAATTAAAATCATTAGTTCTCTATATATTCTTTCTGATAATAATTTCCATCCGTTACCTTGATTATGATGTAAAAAGTGATGATAATTGTGTCTTCTTTTCATTGTATACAAATACGATTCGTCTTTCGGTGCTCCATTATGCAAATAATAGTGCATTAGATCATAACATAAATAGCCTATAAAATAAATAAAATTAAAATTGCAAAATTATTTATACAAAACTGTAATATAATTGGATTATGAAAATAATTAATCTCGATATGAAATATATATACCGGAAGATTTTTTTTATGAGTAGCATACCCGTTATAGTACCAGCGCCGACAAGATTAACTATTTCCAAAGGAAATATGGCTTTGTAAATTTGCCAAACAATCGCTGCTACGGTTAAACTTAATATCGGTGGAAACACCAATCTTCGTTCATCCAATGGTGCCTATTGATATAGGTTCTCTTTACATACGTATATACATTCAGCGCGAATGTTTAAATACATTTAATTTAAAATATCTGAAATTCTGGATTGTACCTTATGATGACTCCCATGAAATAGGAAATGCAAAGTAATCAGTAACTTCGAATTATGCGGTGGTTTTAAATGAAATACTTTCCGATGTACGAAATATTCCATAACGGTCCAGATAAATATCCCCAGAACGAATGACGGTAAAATCCTTTGCAACGTGATCACTAAAATATACAATGACCTTACGATTATATCGTAGATCGTAAACGTCTAAATTTTTATGCTTCTTTTGTGCTGTATTGTTTATTGCTTCATAAATGTTTAATTTAAATGCAAATTATATATATGCACGATACACACGAATTACCGATGCTTGTCGAAATATTTCCAACACATCCCATGTAAAAGAAATATATAACTATGGGAAACCAGACGATCGGCATGATGTACCATGGCGTGATTGATAATAATTCTAAAATGTCCGATTGAAAAAATCGTATAGGTCGGTTTACTGGCAGGTTTACCCATTCCCAATATCGATCGCCCATAAGGCCCACTTGCCGCAATATCGGCGCATCCCAATTAACTAAATCCTGAGATGAAACAAGATTTCTCATCAATGATAATGTTTTTTTTATTCTCAACGCATTATTTATTTGTTTGGTGTCTAACGCCATTTTTTTCTATATAAGTCTTCAAATAATTTACCATAAATAAATATCATAACAGAACAATTACGTAAAATGTAAATTTTTGCGTTTACGGCGATAGCTTATCTTTTTTACTTTTTTTTACTCAAACATCGTGAATGTAAAGCGTAAAAGCAATCTAAACGTAAAGATAAATGTTTTATATAACTAATAGATATAATATATTATATAACTAATAGATAAACTAATCTTCCTCGATAAACTTGATATATTATAAACAAATCATTTAATGTGCAATGAAACAGAATGCCGTCAATTTATTTTTGACGCCTGCAATGTCTTATCATATTATGCTATTTTTACAACAATTGCAGCTATTTTTTAATTTAATCAATGTACACATATCAAATTTTTTTTTTTAAGATTGGAAGACAGTTGTTTTTTTTCGAACTTACGTATCTTTTTTGCATAAATATATTAAGAATATTTTTTATAAATGAGAATAGTTTAAATGAAGATATTTTAAATCAGGACATTTTTTATATAGAATACGTAGGTGGATGTTGTCGATTGATTATCTCTCTTATATCGATATTTATTTATATGTATATCACTCACTTCGCACTCGTTATATCTCTCTTGGAATTGCATGGCAAATTCTTCGAGAAGATAGTAGGCAGATTTGGAATGAGGATGTTTCGCTAATTCACCATCTAGGATTTGATCCTTCAAAGGTGTAAGCGTATTTTTTCCTCCCGGATGATAATTTAAGAAACTTTGTATATTATAAACGCGATCGCGATATTTGACATGGAATTCTGATTTTTTCCGCGTCGTGTCGTTACGATAACTTTCATCTTTATTTGCGCAAATCGTATTGGCATTCTTCACTTTGTGAATATTCGCACACACATTCTCTGAATGAACTGTGCTATCGAATCTTTTATCTCGACGGATATCCATTTGTAAAATTGTAAAAAAGAAAGTTAACTATTATAAGCTGTAAGCTCAAGATACGTATAAAGTGATATCCGTCTGTACCCCGTTACAAATTCTCAAATACCAACTCCGCGGAGAAAGAAATTTCCTGGAGTCCGTCGAGAATCTCAAGTCGCACTCTCAATTTCGTCCTGAGACAATCCCTCGTCTCTCGATTTTCTTGTGACCGTTCTCTCTCTTGGTTACTACGCGACTCGTCATCGTGATCCTTCGCTTATATCTTTCCTTACAATTTTGCATTTTTTATAAGTCACGCTCCCTCAAACTTCTCGCCTACAGCGCGCTCATCTAATCACTCTTAAATCACTTGATTATTTCGCTCCAAGCTAATATCAGTTATTGTCTACCTTATCGACGACTCAGGTAATATCTTTCTCTAACGCTTACACTACGAAACTTGCTATGTACTATGCACTCCAGTGCATTTTATTAAATAGACAATGTTTGCGATATGGTAATCTATAACAGATAAGATATTACAAACGTTACGTGGGAGAACTCGATGATTGCATTATGCCTCATAAATAACGACACTGTCATACTGAATGGTATCGTAGCGATTATCAAGATTAATCAAAATTTACATATATCTAATGAGAAGATACGAATGATAACTTTGTATTATATTAAAGCTACATTTTTGAAAATGTGTATGATAAATGCAGAGAATGCAAAGTAAATGCAATAAATGCAATATATGTGATAAATGCAGGAAAATGCGTAGACACAAGGTATTTAAAAGCTTTGAAACTTAAAGATTTTAAGCAAAATAAAGGTATGGTTTTTATGAACTCGTAACTGTTCTTCAGGTAAAATTTTTCTAAAATTGTATTTAAAATTCTTAAATAATATCATATATGCGAATCAAAAGTTCATTAAGTAAACCTTATGAAACATTTCTTTAGAAATATTATTAGATATCCTGAAAGAGAATACATTTTCGGCAATAAATAAGCTTTTATTTAAACGCTTTGAATCTTGTATACATTGTGTACATAGTAAATGTCTAAGTTTCAGTCGCTAAAAGTATGGCGACGATGTTCAAATTCAAGGACAGCTTATGATTTGAACACATTCACGCTATTAAAAACATACGTATTGTGTCGAGCAATAAAATACAATCGGAAGTACTCGCTCGCTATCGTAAATTGATCTCTGCACTAAAATAATTACCATTACGAATCGTATAAACCTAAAGAACTAAAATATAATACTCGTTTTTATTTTCTTAATATTTACGCACAACTGAAGAAATTTTCCCCTGGAAGAGAAATTTCATTTCCAAGTGACTGAATTGAATTTTAGCAGCGTCTAAGATAGAACTATCCAACATTAATTATGTCATTTATAACTATATGTACATATCACTTCGAGGAATTACCGGGCGCATCGGACACACAAACGTTTAAGCGAAACTCTAATAAATATAGAAATATTGAAATGAGGATATTAAGCGTGTTCTCTGTGCTCAACGGTGCCATTTAATTTTCCATTTAACTTTCGATAAGAAGGTAGGCCAAAAAGGCATTGTATTCAAATTCTTTAATTGTTAAAAGTTGATTTTAATGAATTTATTACAAATATACGCGTAGTTCTCGATTTGAAAATAGGAATGTCGCAGAAGGCGATATTGCGATTGCTCTCCAACTTTTATCCGCTGACGTGGAAAAAGTCGAAAAACGAGAAGTAATGAGAGGTCTCACATATAGATTCTTTACTTTGTTTAGATTTCGTTTTTAAGTAATTCATTTTTAGACATAATAATGATTGCTTTTATTGGTATATATTTATCTAAGATATCTAGGGGAAGACAAGAAAAGAAGAGGAAAAGAATTATTTTTTTAATATAAACGAAAGCTAAATGGCAAAGTTCGAATTCTGGGGTCTGAGAGACTCCGCACATGTGAGTTTAATATTATTTATTAAGGATTAACATATGCACCAATCTCTTTTTAAAGTTACAGCTCTGAGCTTTTAAAAATATTATTTATTTTTCCAAAATCAAACAATCTCTCGATTTTTGGAAGCAGCAGAGATATACGCGATACGCGATATCTCTTTTCATAAAGAAAGAATAAAAAGTTTTCGAGAGACATAATTCGTCGTGTTTTTTTTCTAAGGAGGAAGCATTTTCTCCCTTGCACCTGTTTATTTTCTAACAATACTAATATGTTTGCGATAAAATTAATCATGTTTTCAATAATTAATTATATTTTATAATTAAATTATAAATATATCGTATTTCAATTATTTATTCAAATTAGCCCAGATAGTTCGTGCTTTCTTGATTCTGATAAAATTTGAAAAATTATGAATAAATTTAAAAAAAAATGAAAATTTTATTCAATCTTTGAATTAAAAATATATTCTTGTAATGTGTGCTGTATAAAACTAAATGTTGTGTGTGTGTATCGTGTTTTTCCAAAGTGAAAAGATTCCATCATATTTATCGAGCAGAAACATGGCAATTCTGCAAGATAAAAATTTTTTGAATACACGTGAGCTGATATTAATATTTCGAGTTTTTCTCTTCATTTTCTGCGTAAAAATATTAACACAAAAACAAAAAGAAAAATGTTATCATAGAATATTTAATTGATCTTGGTCTTCATGAGAGATTATGTGACTGTTATCTCGATATGTATGTGTTTACTAGAATTGCACTATAGAATTATTGTTTCTTTTTGTATATTCTAATAGTTCGCGTGTCAATTTTGAAGAAATAAACAGTCGGCTCACAGAATGGCAAAAGAGAGTGCAACAAGTTTTGCAAAATAAATTTTGATGTAGCACGTCCTGCATGTTGAAATTAATCGAGATATACATACAGGGTATACTTGTACAGTAAATACGGTAGCATTCCCAAGTTTCTTCTCGACAAAGTAAGAAAAACATCATTTTAATAAGCGTTTAAAAAAAAAAACGTAAAATTTAATGTGCAGTAAAAAGTAGAATCAGACATAGTATAATCTCGCGGTACGATTTCTTTTAAATGTAGGATAAGTCCGGAGGTGATGGCCATACGGGAGAGATGGTCAACGAAAAAATTTTAAAGTAAAAACAAGAAAATAACTTACTTTTTCATTTTTTTTTTTTTCCAAAAATTGCGATTGCGTGTTCTCCTGAGTAACTCGGGAAGCGCATCAGCGAGTCAGTGCCTGTTGAATAATTCTCTAAAATTTTTTCATTGACCATCTCTTCCTTACGACCATCACCCCCGGACTTACCCTAAATGTAATATGTAAACGCAAATATGTGTAAATATGTAGAGGGTATAATGGCTTTTGAAAAAGGTGTGCTTTTGCTGCGTCATATATTTTACGTTAAATTGACGTTATCTCGTCAACTCCTTGGGAACGGGTATTGCTTATCGTGTAACTCACATATCAAGGGGGGGGGGGAGGGGAAGGGGACGTTTCGCACATTGTGTACTTACATACGCCCACGTTTAGACGACTAGCTTCTAAAAGTTTGTGTCCCTCATGCACGAAGTAAAAGAGCATACGCTTTTACACGTAGAAAAAAGGGAAGAAAGTAAATAGGTACGATACTTTGTAACACTATCTCCTAAGCGATTCAAAAAATAGGTACTTTACGAGGTATTAATTTAGATGCGGTTGGCATATAAACGCCGAGTTATTATTTACAATGGCACACACGCGTTACGTTTTCATCGAATTCGTAATGTCATTAATATATAATAATAATAATAATCTCTCGCTCCTAGGACTCCTATTTTACATACCGTTGTTACTTTCCCTGTGATACGAGCGCTTTTCGACTCGCACTCGCTTTTACAGCACCGACCGTTAATGTCTATTTTGTCTGTGTTCGCGAATTACTCACGATATTGTACACGTTCTCATTGATTTGTCCAGTTAATTGATCTCAGTTTAAAGTATGTACAATATAAATAGGACAGAGGATAATCACAATGGCGTTTCCGAGCTTAGATCGTAACGTACATGTACACGAAAAGATATTTCGCGAAATTTGCACAGCAAATGCGATTCTCGCGCGGATCGCAATCTCTTTATTATTGACATTACGGTTATTCGAAATTCACACCGTCTCACGAGACCTTAGGAGATGGAACTTGGCATACCGATCGCTCGTTGATTATATCCTAAAAGCGGAATCGGTACGCAGTGTTTCCGTATTCAAAATAGCTGGACCAGCCAAACAACGCCCGGCGATAGGGCTATTTCGCGAAAGAGAAATCTATCTTGGAATAGCGGAGGTCCCGTATTCTCGAGATACACAACACGATACCAGTATATAGTAATATATTCTGCACCGGTAATGTATTTTATCGAAATGTCACGTTCGTATAATGGCACCGCGTGACGCCAAAAATATTCACATCTTTTTCTGGCGAAATTAATAGTAAAGGAACGCGTCACGTATTATACTTCGATGCTTTTTAATTGTTAACTTAACGATATAATCCGTCAGCTGATGACGAGTGAAATTTAAAAATAACAGTTAAGCCAACTTAGCGCCTGTTTGGATCATTATAATACCTTCTTGCGGAACATAATCTAATTGCCAATTAAAAATATTATTTGCTCGTACTTGTGACGTAATTCGTTTACGTAATATTATTCGTAATACATAATTTGTTTGCTTAACGAGATCGAATAATGCAGATCTGATCGACCGTAATCGTGTTTCAAAAATAATCTTTCACAATCTTCATGAAATATTAAACTAATTAACTTTTTAAAACCAAATACACATACAGAATATATGTATATATATTATATGCGTTTTTAAAAGTTTGGAAACGTATTATATATTTATAAGTGTTTTCAATATAATATATATACGGTTTAATCTCTTTGGTTTCTCTTCTTTTCCGTAAAAAGTATCTCAAAAGTGCTTTACTAAGCAAAAATATTTAGATAATGAAATAATAAAAGAGAAATAGCATTAACCCGTTTAGTATACGAGATTCTTTCTTTTGGAACGTTTTTGTAAGGTCGATCATGTCTGGGCTGCAATGATACGCGAAAGGTAGAACCTCGGAGGAACCGAAAGCATACACATTCCATTTCTGGATCGTGTAAAGAGAGCAGTAAACAAATCGTCTATATTTGACTAACAACTCGACTACGTTCAATTTTATTGTCTAGTCTTTCCGACGTTTTTCTCATTGGAAAGATCAAACTACTACGTTCTAACAAGAAGAAAAAGAAAAGAATCGCGCCGTTCAATTAAAAACGAATTGATCCGGACGAATTCAACGATCCCGCGTCAGATCGTCTCCGCATCACGCGATGACTAAAAAGCCAGAACGCTCTATTCTCTCGTTGCTATTTCTCGTCTGCTATATATGTTACCGTATTCCATCTGTTGATTCGCGATTTTACCCGGAAGCGCGTGTAAACGACGGTAAAGCACGTCGCGGCGCAAATTGGTCGCTCTCGCGGCTCTATACCTTCCTAAAACTTATTTCGTATTATCATATTGCTCCTAATGGCGCCTCGATCCGACAGATTGAGCTCGATTTGTAACGAATTCACCCTACATCTATCTAAAGTATACGTATATACGAAAAAATCGCGATCGACATACCCAACTTTTCGACCAAACCAACGACGAACGCGAATTTTCGTCGTTAAATTTTTCTCGAGATGTATAAATCATACTGGATGCAAGCGCAATACTCGTTAGTGGTCCATTTGCATCTGGTCTGATTCGCTCATCATCTCGATACAACAAAGAAGTTTCAAGTAAATTTGAGCATTCGCGCATTCCGTTCGTTGTTTGTTTGCTCGATACGTTCCATCTTAAGGATGCACGGCTTCGACAGCCTGACACACCAATGACTGTAGTATATATAAAGACCAAACTTGAGAAATTTTTAAAATTAAAGATTTAAAACAAACAATTCAATCTTGTCGAAAATTTGCTTATAACACACGGATTATTCTCTATTGAAACGTAATTTCTCTCGTAAGTCTTCGCAAATTAATTATTGGTATCGTAAATATCTATGTGTCTATTTCTTTATGTGATGATGTATGAAGTGAGCTTATCTCGCAAAGATATTGACTATAATTTAGCATAAACCTTAGTTAGTCTTTATATATGTATATAATCATTGCCGATATCTTTAGCCTGCGGTTCGCAAACAAACAGTACGAGTCATACCGATATTATGCGCTCTTAAAAGTTCATTACTTCCATTTTGAAAGCCCTACCCTGCATTGCTTTCTTGGCGAGTTTGCTCATGGCCGGTACAGTGTTTGTATCGTCGTCGCTATTAATGTCCTCGTCCTCTTCCGGGAAGTCCTCGAGCCGATCGTGATATTCATCAAGCTGAAAGTTAATTAATGATATTAGTATTTATAGAATTGTGCGAGCTAAGGCTATAGCTAAGAGAAGTAGACGAGGCTACGGTCTTGATTTTTGGAGCAAGGATAGAGAGACAAAACAACTCCTCTTTTCGATCACAGTTTGTAGAATTATCTCTGCAAACTGCAATTGAAAATAGAAGTTATAGTAATGTCTACTGTTAACAATAAAATGTACACGTGACATATATACGTGATCGTAGCTTCGAGAAAAAATCGAAAGGTTCAGTATCGTAAGTGATCCATGTTTTGAATAGAGATCTGTTCAGTTTCCGTCCGCGCCCACGTAGCACATATTTCTAAGCACAAGCTATTTATGAACTTTGGTCTCTAAAAGTTACAAATTTTTAGCTCATGATCGAACACTCATAAATAGCTGTGCTTTTCAACTACATATTTGCTTTTTCGTACTTTCGCATGACGTGAGAAGACTAGTTGAACAAGAACTTGTAACGATCACGCAATTTAATAATTGACAGACCACTTTTAATTCTCAACCGATCAATTATACTGTCCTATGCAAACATAAGTGTTTCTTCATTCCTGGTGAAGCATAACGTGACTCTTGATAATAGATGAAAGTTGTGGATTTTCATGTCTCACATGCTAAAATCAGGTCAAATTTCTCGACACGCGTACTTATCAAAAGCAAGCATGCTGATTAATGGAATCTATATGAGTTTATATCTCACAATTTGTATAACAATTTCTTCGATATAAATTTATCATAATAATTTTATCATATCCAATTTGCAAAGTTAATTTCTGCAATCTATGCCCATTATGAAAGTTTCGTTGATTTAGATTTTGTTATAGTACGAATTTGCATTAAATATATCATAAAAATGGAATTTAAATATATAAATTTAGAAATAGATATTAAAATGTGATTTAAGCTTAGAATTTTTTTTTATCATGGCGTTTCCTGTATAAAACAATTCTGTTTGAAAAGTATTTTTCATACTATTATAATTCTCTCTACATCAACTGTTCACTTACGTCTAATCATGCATTCTATCGATGCTGATGATATTTTGCCATGAAGTGTGTTATATTAAATTTCTATCGGTATAGTTTCCTTTCATTATTCGATCGTGCAGAGTATTAATTAATCGCGCGACGTTGAACTCAATGAGTATGATTTGTCGAGTGGTAAAGAAGACAAGATATTAGAGCCGAGTAATGTTCCGCGCTGTCTGCGATGCACGCTAACATCGTGTACGTGTGACGATGAATGCGCTAAAAGTAACATTCATGAGGATGCATTCTCAAAAGTTAATGCTGCGAACTCACGTGTATAACGTAGCTACGGGGATATCGAGTAATCGACGTTACCACACAGATAGAGAATGGATGCTTACCTACAACTGCAGATCGTACGTTCAAATGTGAGTTACCTAGACACCTCGTCTGACGCTTAATTGGCTCACCATGAGAAAATTCATAATTACGGGATCGATATAAGCGACACCTCATTTTTGCGAGTCAGTTTAATCGAGCAAAACTGTATTGCGATTAAATAGGCATGGGATACTCGTCAGCCCGTGGTGCGCTAATTAAGCCGATACATCGTTTCAACAGACAAACTATCTCGGGGTAATAGGGTAACAACGCTACTCGGCCGAAACAGTTATTTTAAGGGGAGAAACAACGCTACTTGCGTCCAAAACAATTATCGCGAAAGAAAAATGGACAACGTGCGTTTATCTTCAACTCGCGTCCAGTTATATATAGTGGACTGTTTGTCGCGAATTTTACATACATTCCATGACGAACGATCACAAGCCACAACGCTATCTTTGCGGGAAACATTTCTCCTCGCGCACATTTTTCCTTTACCATACAATTTTCAATGATCATGTAACTCATTAGATTTCTACATATAAAGACACACGATTGCTACGATTATAATGACAAGCTCTACTCACGTCAACGTCGCCCATCATTTCCTTGGTGGAAACGGTGGTATCGATACGACGAATACTGCCTTGATGAATATCCACGTCGAGTTTCACGCACTGGAATCGTCGTAAGAGGAAAACGAGCGGAATCGGCGCGATACCCGCGACAATTATGGCGGCCGCGATGCCCAGCACCCAAGTGGGATAACTCGCAGGTTCTGTCATACCCTAAAAACAAGATATTGGTAAAGAGATAGTATTACTATCGTAATTATATTATCATATAATTTATATATCGTTTTTATAATCTGACATAATCTCTTTACCAATGTCGCATTCCATGCCGAGTATTGCGGTTTCTTAATGAACATAGAGGCGATGCTTGATATGAGAATGCAAACCATTATTATGGGAGCGAGAAATCGCCACGTGACTTGCCAATAAATTCCCGGTCTGTATCCTGTCATCTCTTCGATGTCCTTCGTGAATCTGCACAGCGTTTGCGCGATTATTAGATCGATTAACTGTCTCATTGGATGAAAAGGAGAATGGAATTTTTCAACTTACTTTTCGTGACCGTATACGAAGATCACGGAGATCATTTCCATCAGAGCGACCATAACGAGGCCGATGGTACCGGCGAAGCTGTCAAACATTTTCAGCCAATATTCCCCAGCACCGGTGCAGAAGATGAGCCCCACGAAAAAGCAAACGACACAGACAACACCTACATCCGCAAATTAAACGTTTAGAGCAGATAGTTTTGTATATTTATTTCTTCTGGGCGATATTGATAAATGATGAAACGATAGATAAACAATTGCCCTCACCTGTTATATATTGCTTCTTTATTCTTTTGAAGAGATCTATGTCGAAGATTACACAAAGCATGCCTTCAAGTATTCCAATTTGTGAGCCCAGACCGAGGGCCAAAAGCATCAGGAAGAAAATGCAGGACCAAAACGGCGCACCTGGTAATTCCACGATCGCCTGTGTAAACACAATGAAAGCCAATCCAGTACCCTCAGCAGCCTGAAAACAATCATCATTTAATTATTTTATTAAACGCTCTCAATAAATTCATGAGATTTCTCACGCATTACTCACGCTGTCCAACTCATTGCTGAGACTGCATGATTTTATCGTGGAATTTTTTATTTCCGAAGAATTGAAGCTTTTCATAAAGAGTTCGTAGTCTTCGAGATCGAACGAGGTCGAGTTATCCAATAGCCCATGATCCACCAGGGTATTCTTCGCGCTAAAATAAAAGCGATTTAACATATCTTCTGTGTCCCTCCGTTGTTCGCCACATCAGCGATTAGCATATCCCGTCCCATTATGATTTAATCCCTCCCGCTTCTAAATGCTCAACCATCTGACGTTTACAATTAAATTAAATTAAATTGTGATAAGAATGTAAATCTACGTGCATTATAGTAATATGTGTGTGTTTGATTTTTTGCAATTTAATTTAGTAGCCTCATTAATGTGAATTGTTATACGTTACTAATGGGATTAGTTTTTACAACTTAATTTAATAAAAAGTTTTCTGTTCATGTAACCTATATGTTATACATTAATAGCGTAACACTGTTAAAAGAGCGACGACACATCTCTCGAACAAGCAGCAACAGTTATCATTCAGCCGTTTAAAGATACATCTCCGCAGCCGTGGACGATTTTCACTACTCTCTTCGCGATGGCGAATTTAGAAACGATGGCCGCGCTTGCGGTCGCATTACCTGACGACGCACTTGTCCACGTTTGACATTGCCTTGAACCCCAAAATGGCGAAAATGACAACGCTCGCATAAATGGCAGTAAACGCGTTGCACACGCTCACCAGGATCACGTCCCTCACGCAGTTGTTGTTGGGGGTGTTGTAGCTGCCGAACGCGATCAGGGAACCGAACGCCAGCCCGAAGCTATAGAAGACCTGGGTCGCCGCGTCAAGCCAGACCGTGGGCTCCAACAGTTTCTCGACCTTGAACGAATAATGCAAATGTCATATCTAATATCCGCGGTCTTTTGTACCGCTCGACTCGATACAATCGATCGTCACCTTTGGTGTGTACATGTGCGCCAGTCCGGCGCTCGCACCTCTCAATGTTATCCCGCGGATGAAGAAGATGGTTAGTACGAGATACGGGAACATGGACGTAAAGTATACCACCTACAAGAGAAAGGATGTTGAAAAAAAAATGACATTCAGTATTTGCGATACTAAAGGGATGTGTCGAGGCCAATTTATTCAAGGCGATTAATAACAATAGATCAATCGACATCGACTCTGAGTGCGACACGATCTTACTTTGCCTGACGACTGTATGCCCTTCATGACGATGAAGAACACGATGATCCAACTGAGCAAGAGGCAAAGGACAATCCACCACTTGAGACCTTGGCCATCGTCGATCGACGGTGCCGCGTCTAAGGTAGTCCTGTACCAAAAATATGCGGTCTCCGAACTCCTGGCACATTCCTCGACCGGTTTCCCGTCCAATTCCGGGCATTTTGCCCACGGCAGTGATTCCTAGTTGCGTCAGAATATGCAAATAGATCATCAATATACGCTTTAACGAGTATACCGTTATTGCGCCGTAAAAGCTGAAGCGGCACTTTGGGAGCGCCGTGATGAAATTTGCATGCACGCTATAATTTATGCAACTATTACAATATAATGCCAATAGCTAGACAAAATGATGCTGTATTACTCAATGTTTACAAGACAAGAATACTTACACCGAATTTGATGGTGACAGCCTAATTGAAACATAAAAAAAAAATATAAACGTTATTAATATTTTGCAAATATATAGAAAACATTACAGCGACGCCATCGGTAACTGCACGCACAATCGAGGATTATATTTTATTTTGACTGTCGCATTTATTTAAAATGATATCACTATTTGTGTCCAAGACATTAATTTTTTAAATTGTTTACAATTAAAATAATCTTTTATATTTTTTTTATATACATAGTTTTTAGTTTCTCTCTAATATATCTTTATTAAAAATACAATTTTTATTAGAAATATTGATAGATTTTACTTTTTATATAAGCGATACGCGCTTATCTATTACATAAATTTTATATTATCTATTTAAAAGTCTAAACTAGAATAGAAAGTGCAGGGGTGAATAATACTTAAGACATCTCGACGCAGATTACCGTGGCGTCAATCGCCGCTACGAACGTTATCGATCTGCTTACCTCGAGCGAATTGAAGAGGTAGAAGAAGCACCAAGTAATAATTACGTTATAATAAAGCGCAACGAAAAACGTAACTATGCATGACGCGATTCCTATACCTCCTAACCAAGGATGTATAGTGTTCCAGACGCCCAGGGAACCCTGTCGCATACGTTGTCCGAGACCCAGCTCGATCAGGAAGAGGGGTACGCCCTCTAAGATGAGCATCACGAAAAAAGGAATGAGGAAGGCACCTAAAATGTACACGCAAATACATCTCGCTTTAACAGGATTGTAATTTTCGTTATACAAATATTTAACATTGAAAATTACAATGCTACATTATGTTCGCGAGAAAGTTTTGAATGAAATAGAAGAGTCACTGGAGGATCACTTTTGAAACATCTTTCTGAGAAACAAGGAATGAGCGTGAAATTTCCACTTTTATTTCCATTTGCAAATCTAGATTCGTCGAGATCTCGATTTAACAAAGGAAGAGACAAACCAGGTCGACTACGAGACAAAAATACTTATATTTCGCTTGTTGATAAATATTTTATACGACGACCGTTATTCATTATTCGGTCAAAATTTTGTTACAGAAAATTTTAATATTGTCATATTTTTGGCATATCATGCGTATCGTGTCGGTTCTGCTTAACCCATAAATTTTAATGTTCTTCAAAGATTTAAACTGCATTTTCTACAATATACGAAGAATACGAGTATGCATAAACATAAAACAGAATATTCATACATAAGAATCGCTAAGTAAGCGAAAGATATAACAAGCTAACTTGATATCTGTTTTTTATATGTCTTATTTGCGAGATAATGTGCTTCTATCATATCCAGTACGAACACATTTGCACATCGATGAATTGTGTTAACGCAGAGTGAGAGGAACAAAGATTATTTTTAGAAAAAGCATTGCACACGATATATTTTAGGATTAGAATTTTGACGTCGCTCGCGTATTTTATGCATTTAACGCAAGGTTTTAAATATATATCTTTCCATTTCTTTTATATTCAAATCATAATTTTTAAATCACGTGTTTCGTTTACGTTGTCAGCGGAGTGTTAACATCTCACGTGTTTTTAAATTATTTTCCTATTTTTATAATATCAACGTTATCCGCTTTTTTTTGCATCTTCCCTTGTTCCTGACACGTTCCTCTCTCCCTTTAGCTTTAGATGTCTAGTTTCGCGGTCGTAGCTGGAGCGCCTTGTATTGATCGAGCAACCTAAGTCCTAACCCGTTCAGCCACTCCACCACTTGAACGATCTTTTTGATATACAAATGCAAATTAGAGCTAAAGAGAAAATCGCGAGCTACGATACATTAATACCTGCCTTTTTCTACACCAATGTGTTTGTTTAAAGCTGTAGGAAAGTGGCAGTAACACTTTTAGCTCCAGTGATTGATTAATTGAACTCGATTATAAATAACTTTTTAAATATTTCGATATATTAATTTTTAATTTACCATGAGAGTAACGAAGAAGTAAAAGATAAAAAGGGGAATTGAAACGTGCAGAAGTAGATCTTATGACCCTTGATGGCGACGTCATCGGTAATCCGATGTTATACATTGGCGTTTAACATGTCAATGGCTCGTAACGCAGACTCTCCGCGTTTTAAAGCCGCTATTACTTTAGAGCTGCGAAACAGAGAGCGGCAGATGTTAGGTCGTCGCGTGCTTTCCGTTACACAGTGGTATGGATCGATCGATAGGCGTTCAGTGACGCGGACGCGCTACGACGCAACGAGGAAATTTCCATTGAAAGCCGAGTCTTTTTCGTCTAAAGATTTATATATCCACGTATGAGTAAGCATCACGTAATTCAATCGTCGGCAGCGATTTGCAATTACGCGCAAAAATTTTTGCTACCAAAGTTCGAAAGCGGTCAGTTTGCAATTTTGCCAGCTTGATAAATTCGAGAATTCCTTCTCTACTTAAAAATAATATAAGATTCAGCAAACTTTATCGCGCGCGTATAACATATAATATTTCATTTATGAAAGCTTATCTTTTTTTAACTCGTTTTAAATTTATACAAAAAAAAAAAAAAAAAAAAAAATTTTTAAAGAACGATTTTTTAAATGAGAGTAACGAAGAAGTAAAAGATAAAAAGGGGAATTGAAACGTGCAGAAGTAGATCTTATGACCCTTGATGGCGACGTCATCGGTAATCCGATGTTATACATTGGCGTTTAACATGTCAATGGCTCGTAACGCAGACTCTCCGCGTTTTAAAGCCGCTATTACTTTAGAGCTGCGAAACAGAGAGCGGCAGATGTTAGGTCGTCGCGTGCTTTCCGTTACACAGTGGTATGGATCGATCGATAGGCGTTCAGTGACGCGGACGCGCTACGACGCAACGAGGAAATTTCCATTGAAAGCCGAGTCTTTTTCGTCTAAAGATTTATATATCCACGTATGAGTAAGCATCACGTAATTCAATCGTCGGCAGCGATTTGCAATTACGCGCAAAAATTTTTGCTACCAAAGTTCGAAAGCGGTCAGTTTGCAATTTTGCCAGCTTGATAAATTCGAGAATTCCTTCTCTACTTAAAAATAATATAAGATTCAGCAAACTTTATCGCGCGCGTATAACATATAATATTTCATTTATGAAAGCTTATCTTTTTTTAACTCGTTTTAAATTTATACAAAAAAAAAAAAAAAAAAAAGATTTTTGAAGCACGATATTTTAATTTCGCGTAATTCCATTATATTGCTATTATAAACTCCTAAGTGGAGTGCCTGGTGATTTTGGTGACGATAGATTTTTAGACGGAAATATTACCTCTATGGCAACGAGGTGGGTGTTTGAGCAATAGTCTAGCAACGGAAGCTCGATTTGCGCAGTTGCTGGATGATAACCGATATGATTTCGGTGTGCATATAAACTCCGTCACAATCACGCGAGGGCCACCCGCGTACACCTCTCGTGACCTATCTACCTACCCACATCCGCGAAAGTAGATGTACGTATGTTAAATAGCTGTTCGTTCTCGCGATTGTGATAAGAAGAGCTGCTCAGCGAAACGGACTTAAAACAATTCAACGTACGAGAGCAGGAGCTTGTTGTTAGTCAACGAACGCTATTTTCTCGGGCGAAAAATTCACGCTCATAAAATCTATCCAGATTGCAATATGTGTGCGCATATTATATACGCGTTTTGTATACTCGTATTTCATACGATACTAAACAAAATGCCATACTGCTAAAGCGTATGTCTTTTAGTACTTGCGGTTGGTCGACCTCTCACGTCAGATTGAATTAAATCAGGTGCAACCTTGAACTAACTTTATCTTGATGAATAACAGATATCTTTCTTCTGTATTGATTTAGCATTATTTCATATATACATATCGCGATACTGTATTTTCAGCTGAATTTTATACATAATTTAAATTAAACGAAATGTATTTTTAGATAGAATGTCATTTATAACATCTCGATAGTTTAATTGATAAGATATTTGTACGGAAAGCCGGAAATATATAGGTTTAAATTTTAGTTTAGGCGATATTTTTCACAATATATGTGAACACAATATATGATTGCCGACAATATTGTTTTTTCAGGGAGAGATTTATTAACCTTCTTTTGTATAGCAAAGAGTCTATAAACTGTAGTAAAGTATACCTTTAAGTATATACTCGGTATTTTTCCACGCAAAAAATATATGACATTTACATTACTTTTTTTTTTTACTAGTATATTATTTTTTATTGATTATGAGTGAAACAATGAAAGATTGTTTGTCTTTTAAAACTAAATTATGATTCTTTTGTTATATTAAAATAAAAATTAATATTTATAAAATTAAAAAATATTGAATAAAATACTAAATTAAAAAATATTGTATAAAATAAGTCATATATATAAAAGTAGAAACAATGTTATACACATATAGAGTCTACAAATAGAAATAAATTAAATAAATTCAAACGGAATTGCAAGTTAATAAAAATCGAATTGGTCATGCGGAACAAAAAATCTTTTGCCGTCGCATAAATTATAATAAGCCATCAAGCATGTGATCTAGTATATTAATATTTTTCACCGCGCGATTCTAGTACATTTTATTATTTATGTGAGTACATTAAATAATTCTCTCTCAAGAGAGAAGAAAGAAAAAATTATGACAATTCTACTAGTAAATTTAAAAAAATATACAGAAATATATATATATATATATATATATATATATATATATATATATATAAATTTTTTTA